AATCACTACATTCCAAACATCGGGAGATCTTTTCATTATATTGTCTTCTTACAGAAGAATACCAATTCTTCAAATATCAAATTATTCTCCATTAGTTCATATTCTTCTCCTAATACGTAGAAATTGTTTATCTTCCTTATGATTAAAATAATATGGCTTGAAAGACAATTTTCATTTCATATCATATTTTGCTTTTAAGTAATTCTTCCTTTAAAGGCTTAAATACTTTTCTTTTTTTGGAACATAGCTAGACTAATATTTTGGGGAGAAAAAAGACTTTATCTCCCTTCTAATTTATACGTTCACGCCCATCAACATTTTGCAAAATTCTGTCTCTCACCCAAGCATTTTCTTTATTATATCCTTTGGTGTTTGCATCTGATTAAACCTAGATCTGATTGAACCTATGGCCATGTTCCACATCTTTAATCTAAAAGCTTTAAATCAGGTTGTCAACCTTCAAACGAATTTGGCTTGTAATAATAAAGTAGCTTGTCATTAGGTTTTGAGACAAGCTATCCCATTGAAGAAGACTATTCTACATTTTGTCAGATTCCTCTAATTAGTTAATTATTTCTTCTATTCTGATCCTGTATATCAGCCATTTCAGGTCCAAAGCTTGTAACATATTTTATCATCAAAAGCATGCTCAATTTGCATCCCAATATCAGATATATGTTAGTACTCAAACCAACCTCTGAAACCTGACAATACAATTCTGTTAGTTGTTAATTAACTTGTTCAAGTTTACTTGCCCACTCCTTTTGGATTATATTAGTTGACTTATCCCATTTTGCCTGTACTTCTGGATGTTGCTTAACTTGATTTTCTATTCAGTCAGTTTTAGAACTTTGTCCCAACCGTGTTTAATGTTTACCTTCTCCACTGGAACCTGATTCTCCTTTGCCATATCTTCTTCATAACTAGAGCGAGGTGCTCTTCAGCTGAATCATTCATGTAAGCCTTAATTTTTCTATCTTTTTAGAATTGCCTTTCTTATTCATCTTCTTAATACTATTCCTGTCTGTTATTTGACTATTCAGACAAACATGAATGGTGAAAATTATCAGACAAGCTGAGCTGGGAAGAAAGCCATCAATTCAATGTACCATGGTTCCCGGTTACTAACCATGCCGTCCCCAATAATTTTTTTTAAAAAAGCAGGATCCTGTCTTAGTTGGGAGAGTTACGATTACCATTGGGAAAAATTGTGCTAAGCAAGATAGTTGTTAAGTGAGTCACACCTGATTTTACAACCTTTTTTGCAACAGTTGTTAAGCAAATCACTGAAGTTGTTAAGTGAACCACATGGTCATTTAGCCAATCTGGCTTCCCCCCAGACTTTGATTGTAAGCAGCTGGCTGGGAAACTCACCAATGGCCATCACATGACTCCAGACTTGCCAGACTGAGGACTCTACTAACTGAATCTAAAATATATTCTGTGAAATATGAAAGAGAGGCTGTCTTCACCCTTTTTACAAAATAAAAAAAAATCCCTGTGGATTTTATTACAATAGTCTTTGCCGACTATAGAGGACGGTGTTCATCTCCGTTTCAAGGCCATTGAGCCAGTGCTGTCCGAAGACATTTCCACAGTCATGTGGCCAGCATGACATTGCGGAATGCTGTTACCTTCGCAGTGAAAGTCATCCAGAAGTGGTACCTATTTATCTACTCACATTTGCATGCTTTCAAACTGCTAGGTTGGCAGGAGCTGGGACGAGGACAGGAGCTCACCCCATCACTTGGCACTCAGGTCTTGAACCTGGGCTGCTGGCTTTCCAGCTGACACTAGCCCAGCATCTTAACATAAAATATCTGAACTAAATTGCCTCTTACATTTCTGGAATATACCCCCTCCCTCCTGGGAATCCATCACCTTACTACATTCCATCACATTGGGTGTGCAATGGAGGCCATTTCAGGCTATGCTGAGTATGCTTTTTATGATTTTCCAGTTGGGTTGTTTTTTTAGTTCTTGTTTTATTTTAATATTTGTATGTATTTTAATTGTTTTTAATGTTGTGAGCTGTCCAGAATCATGTACGTGAGAAGGGCAGCTATATATGTTAAATAAATGAATTTCAACCCAATTCACATGTTTTAACAGCCTTCCCTGTAATGCTTTCTAAGGGACAATGAGATACATTGGGACACTTTTATCACTAAAGTAGGAATGAATTGTAGCATGTTTTTAATAAATGTTATTCTTCACAAAATATGGCTTTGTAAGAATACTTCAGAAAACATCGAAAAGATGAAAATATTCCTGGATTAACTAAGCCAGTGATGGCGAACCTTTTAGAGACCGAGTGCCCAAACTGCAACCCAAAATCCACTTATGCATCGTGGGGTGCCGGGTGGGTGTGGCCCATTGGCTGGGTGTGGCCAATTGGGGGTGTGGCCCATTGGGTGGGTGTGGCTGCGGTGGTAACGGCAGACTGGGTGGGACTAAAAAGTTCAATCAAACTTTGCAAGATCTTTTTTTCCCTGCGAGAAGTTTGAAATTGACTGATTGATTGAACCTTTTTTTTTTTGCACACGGCGGCAGAGGCCTAAAGTGAAAAGGTTTTATAAAACCCAGCTGAAGGCCTAGGACTGGGGCGACGGCGCACGTGCCCACAGAGAGGGCTCTGAGTGCCGCCTCTGGCACCCATGCCATAGGTTCACCACTACTGGACTAAGCCATAATGTGACTTGTTTAGCATTACAAATAAACCCAGCCACTATGTTTTGTAAAGCATATGGTTTAGTGACTGAATGAACCCAACCAAGCATGGTCTACTCAACAAACTATGACTAAAACAAATAATTTCATACAGTAGGCAAATACAAATATAGTCTGATACAGCCACTCGGATCCAAGGTATAGCTATATAGAGACTGCAACTCAAAGTTCATTGCCAGCACTGCACCAACCTGAGAAACATTGCAATATTGACTTAATGTGTGTTTCATGATTTAGTTATCCCGGTAAGGTTAATTGACAGCCTGTAATGCTGTATGTTTCTATTCCATCATTTCATTTTTTCAAGGACAAGCGACTTCAGCTTCACTCTTAGTTTTGTTACAATGTTAAAAAAAATGTTATGATGTTCAGATGTCGCACTAAAAGATAATGTTTTTATACTGTTGTGATTTAGAGTTATATGACACCCAGACCTTAAATGTTGTATAGTATTGTTTACAGCTTATTATGATAAGTAAACATTGTCATAAGAATTTTGTTTAGTAAATTATGATTTAAAAACACTAGTTTAGCATGATATGGGAAATGAACCACAGAATTGCCTTTTAATGCATGATAGTTTAAAAGGTCAACATCCCCTCTCAGTGAGTGCACTAAAATATTAAATATATATTTATTCAATTGAGTGCAAATTTATCTAGTTTCTTAAATAACAAAATATAATAAATTCTAAAATAGCTGATCTCAAGAAGATGCCTGTTTCTAGCAATCAGGATTTGCAATTAGCTTCAGCTTCAGTTCCTCTTGAGATTAATCCAAGGAGAAAATGAAACATTTAAACCCTGCAAGATGACTACATTTCAAGTGTAAGCCCAGTGGTGGGATTCAAATATGTGAACAACCACTTCTCTGCGTGGATGCCGCTTCCAGAGGTCCGTTCTGGGCCTGGGCAACAAAAAATTAGCTACCGGTTCTGCTAAACTGGTACGAACTGGCTAAATCCCACCATTGAGTAAGCCCCTCAATTAAATTCTATACTCATCCAGCCAGAAGTTTACAATTTCTCTACAGAATTTTTTAAATTTTTCGTAATCCAGGGTTTTGCGCAAGCAGTTCAAAGAGTCCCATTTTAAGCAAGAATCCCTGATTCTCTGGAAAATTAAAAAATAGCTTAACAACTAGCTAAATTAGAAACAATAAACAACTTGGTAACTTACAAGAGCCAGAAGGATATCTGTATGCTATTTCTGTTAAAGTATTCAATCTTCTCATGGTTATTGGGAGGCAAAAAAAAGGAGGATAATGGCTACTACCATGCAATAAAACCCCTGCCTTTTTCAGTATCACATAAACATAAGAAAGACAGGACTTCAATTGCATGATTGTAGCACAATCTTGATTTTCTTTTTTTTTGCCACTGCTCCCTCACACCCCTCAGCCTCACCAAGACGTTGATCTCTGGTGAACATTTTTGCTTTATTTCATTCCTATGAAGTCCAGTGAAACCCTATCCAGAAAAACAGCATGACCAACTGAGATTTGGATGCTGTAAAAGAATTAATCAAGAAAGCTTGAAAAATAGGGCCTGATAATGATGGAAGTCTGGGCAGAGAAAGTCACGGAATGGGTGCTTTAATAAGAATACTGTACAGGTAATCTTCAACTTACAACAGTTCATTTAGGGACCGTTCAAAGTTACAAGGGCACTGAAAAGAGTGACTTATGATTATTTTTCACACTTACGACTGTTGCAGCAAACCTATGGTCACATCATCAAAATTCAGATGCTTGGCAACTGATTCATATTTATGACGGTTGCAATGTTCTGGGGTCATGCGACCACCTTTTCCAACCTTTAACAAGCAAAGTCAAAAGGGGAAGCCAGATTCACTTAACAACTGTGTTACTAACTTAACAACTGCAGTGATTCACTTAACAACCATGGCAAGAAAGTTTGTTAAATAGGGCAAAGTTTACTTAACAACTGTCTCGCTTAGCAACAGAAATTTTGGGCTTAATTGTGGTCTTAAGTTGAGGACTACTTGTACTATAACATTGTGAAAAACAATACTTACCCTTATATTAAGAGTAATATGTCTAAAGAGAAATGTCACAAGAGCAAAACAATAAAACCTTTATATGTATTTTACTTTGGCATTAATCAACTTCTGTTTTTATGTCAATATAAGTCTATGCTTAGATAGCCTGTAAAATTCTGTTTGCAGGTAAAGTCATAAAACAAATACATGCCCAACCTTATTCTTATTGCAAAGCAGAAACCGGATATTCTGTTGCTTCCTCTTATACTAGCCTTTCTTCTCCGAGACACAAACCAAACCCATAAGGAGAACAGCAAACAAAACTAACAGCTTAACAAATGGGGCTTAGAAATTCTACACCACTGAAAATCAAAGAAGCCCAGATTATAATGCTTGGACTTGATTCATCTGGGAAATCCACTCTTTTATACAAGCTAAAATGTAATGAAGTCTTCCTAACAGAGCCAACAATTGGTTTTAATGTGGAGATGATTAAAACATCAAAAGATATGACCTTAACAATATGGGATGTTGGAGGTCAGCAGAAAATGAGGACTGCTTGGGACAACTATTTGGAAGACACAGATTGCTTGGTCTACGTGGTTGATAGCTCTGACAAGCGGCACTTGGAAGAATCAAAGAAAGAGCTGGAGCTTATTTTAAGACAAGACAGTATAAAAAATGTACCGGTGGTTGTCCTGGCAAACAAGCAGGATCTTCCTGGAGCTCTGAGCGCTGAAGAAATAACTCGGAGGCTCAACATGAAGAAGCACTGCCAAAACCAAAACTGGTATGTACAACCCTGTTGTGCACTTACAGGAGAAGGACTCTCAGAAGCATTCCAAAAGGTGGCAAAATTTGCAAAATCTTGCATAAAATCTAAACAAGAAGGCTTTGCAATTTTCAAACAACTTTAAATTATCAATTCATAATCTGGATAATTAACCCATTGCTGGGGCAGAACAATAGTCTGTTCATTAACCGTCTGATTTTGTAATATGTTTTCCTAATTTTTTTATAAATATTTGTGACAAACTTTGGGCCAATCACTTATTTCTATTGGCCTTCAAAAATATTATGTTGCTCTAAGAAAAGAAATATGATTAAATCCTGAAGTATGAAACTGCAAAAAGAATAAAATCAGCCACAATATGAATGGTTATGGAAGTGTGTTCCATGTCATCCATTTTGCATCCAACAATTATGTAATAATTAATGTAACAAATTTGAAGCTTCTGCAATAAGTAATTGGAAATGATTAAACAAAACCCTACTTGTCATTAGTACGCTATTAATATAAAATCAAATAAAATATAGATTTGTAGTACTGTCCTAAAGTTTATGCTAGCATATCTCCTATACAAAGATAAAATGTTCAATATAATATATAAATAGTAAAAATATGTTTTATTTTAATTAAACCAGGTAAAGTGCACAAAAGGCTAAAGTATTTATTTTTTATTTATTTGTTTTACAGCTGCCTAAAGTAATTATATCCCAAAACAAAACAGAGAAGACTTCTCATAGAAAATAGAAATTCTCATAGTTGAATTTTTCTCACTTCAGCCAATGGATTGCAATGATTACATGGTAGCCAATTAGTATTCTTGCTATGGCTTTCCTAAGTATAAAAGCAACACCATACCATTGTTTTTCACCCCTGAGTAATAACGGTGTGATCTGAGCCAACCCGTCCATCACAATTCAGTGATGCCTAACATGTCACTGCATAGTAGTTTCATTTTATCTTTTATTGTCTTGAATTTTCCTGTTTCATGCTTCTTACTCTCCATGTTCCCATTATAATTGGCATAACATTTAGTTGATTTCCCTCTTTCCCCAAAATGTCTTCTTTGCAAACCTTGAAATAATATAGTTCTTATTATTTTGATAAATAACAGTTACATATATGCAGTGCTTTTTGTCTAAAAAAAAAAAAAAGGTGCCAGAACTCACACACGTCATAAACCCGCCTTGCCTACCCTACAAGGTTCCATCCCAAAAAGGTGCTGGAACTCCATTCTGGGCGTTCTATGAGAAAAAAAGCCCTGCATATATGATTTTTCCCAATATTCCTAGAAATAATGATCACATCAATGTAATATTTCTTTTCTATCTAATCATTCTGGTTGCCTCATCTTATATCCTGTTACGGTCCTTATTTAGATTTGTTTCTCCCATAAAGTTCAAAGTATTCTTTCCCATATAAACCATCTCAACACTTTTACATTTCTTAAAGAATAGGTGAAAACAGTAAAGAAAAGGAAAAAAGAGCAAGAGTAAAGAAACATAAAAAGTAAAATACTACTTAAAATATATATTCCTCCTAAGCTAATACATATTCATTCCCAAAATTTCTTATTCTTTTTAACCATGATTAAAAATATATTTAATCTTTAAATATTCCATTTAATGTGTCTAGTCATCTAATCCTTTAACTCTTATTCAAAACATTTTTTTTCTTTTTTATACATTATAATTTCCCTAAATTCAGACACATTTAATTATCTAAAACATTTCCTTCATCTTCTAGGCCATTTCAGCAGTATTATATTACTTATATTAAGAAATAAAATAAAAAGGGGGGGGGGGAAAGCATACAGTATTATTTAAGGAATTCATTTATCTTAGAATGACATATGTATTCAGAATCGTTTCTATTTCTTTAACCATATTCAAACAAATGTTTCTTTTTTAAATATTCTCTGCTGTTTACTGCAGTGCTGGTTAGTTCTTTTGGACTCCGGTTGCAAATAGCTTGGGCTGATCGATGAAATACAGCCTTTTTTCTGTCGGGTTAGAAGGCTTTCCCCAAGACGAACGGAACTACACTGTCATTCCAGAGTCACCGGGGCACCCTTCTTTCTTTGCCACCTCTCCGGGGCAGCTTGGACCCATTAGGGTCTCCAGGCAGGATGAAAGTTAGCCACGAGGGTGCAGCGGTCTGCAAGCCTGCGACCAGTTGCTACCGCGCAGGACCGGAAATCACAATACCAATGTTTTTCATTCATCTCTCCCAGGAACACCCTCTGCCATAATAACACAACACAGCAGGGCTTGGGGGAAAAGACATATTTGATAGCAATTTTGATATGCACTAAATCAGATAAGATTCAAGTAGTCCTCGACTTAACACTGATTGCTTAGCGACCATTCAAAATTACAATGGACTTCCACATACGGTACTTATGAACTGGTTCCAAAGTTCTGACAGCTACCCCTCCTGTGGTCATGTGACCACAATTTAGTTATTCAGCATCCAGCTTCCATTTACAACCATTTACAGAATCCCACAGTCATGTGATCTCAATTTGAGACATTTTTTGCTATAAATTGGTATTTACTTTTCAGGTTCAGCAAAAGTGTCCCATAGCAAACAATGGTTTTGCTTAACGATTCAGATTTACTTAATGACCATGGTGATTCACTTAACAACCACTGCAAAAATATCATAAAATTTGGTTGCTCGCATGATGACCCACAACCAACATGACTTACAACTGAAATGAGAAGTCTCAACTGGTTATAAGTTGAGGCCTACCTATAGTACTGAAAGTAACTGTACTGTAGCATGCATTTTAAAGTACTTCAGACTGAGAACTGTTTGGTGCATGTATATCACTTACAGGTTACTGTAAGTGCCCTGTGCCCCATAAGGTTTCTGCACAAATAGCATTTTCTGAGCTTTAACATGTTGTAATATTAATCAGATTTGAAAAAAGATTTCAAAATCCTGACTAACAATGCTAATAATCATGCCAATATGCCCACCTATAGTTAAAGCCAAGAAAATTATGTCAGAGGATATTATTATGGGGAAGAGTTAAGTATGATTAAAGGACATGTACGATACCCAAAAAGCAATTGCTATGGTGATGAAGCAATGCCATGGCAACATTACAAAGAGAAATGTCAGTATATCCATACTCATGATAGAAACCTTAACTCATTGCATAAGCTTTGACAAGGGGTGATGAATCTTTTTTCTTCCACCACCCCATAATGGAAAACAATGGATCTCCAAAGGTTGTAGATCTTTAACACTCAGCACACTCTACCACAGGCTAGCAACATGAGCCCCACCTTTTTCTACGTACATGGTACATGGTACAAGCTTATGGCATGATGCCATAACACTGCAAAGGGCTGTTGCCACCAGCCATAACAGCCGGTGGCATTGGACATTGAAACCTGACATTTGGAGGGTCACAGATCAAAAGAATCAAAGACTACTATTTCCATCTCATCTCCTGAGAAAGGCACCTGTAACCTTTTTTAATGTACTGAGCTGAAAGTCAGTTCCCTCTGCCCCACAGTCTAGGTTAAAAGAGGCAGATTTTCAATGTTTCCATATTCAGATCTGCAGTTCAAAGCATCCTTGGAAGAAAGGAGAACTGGTTTTGCCCCATTTTCAAAATTTAAGAAAGATCATCTAACAACTTCCAGGGAATAAATATCACCTCACCTTTCCCAAAAGATATTAAAAGGACTTTGATAACAATCTCTCTGTCTCTGTCACCCTCCTCAGCCTTAAGTGAGAGTGTGATAATAATATTGTCAGACATCTTGGGCCTTTTACAACTGTATATTACAAAGCAACATCTTTCTGAATAACTCCCCCCCAAAAAAACTTTTATTGCTTATGCTCCTGTTCATGTCATAGTGTAAAAGAGATACTATACATTTACATTATGTACACAGACCACAGAGTCACATATGTGAGATATAAGTTGAATTAATGAATAAACGAATTAATGAATAAATAAAGAAAATGCAGAAAGAGACACAAAAGAAAACAGCAACAACATGGTTTTGCATTATTGTTTAAAAGAAAAGATAGTAAGCAATTAAATATTTTACCCAGGTACTGTTTCTGGATCAGGTCTTAAAGGCAACAAAGCGGATTTTGGCCAGTGCTAGAGATGTAAGATTGTACTGATCAGTCATAAAGAGTTAAATATATATTTTTAAAACTCCATATGTCCTGGAAAATCCACTAAAAGGAACAATGTATTAATATATCTATAGAAAAGCAGTATAATAAAACATGGCTTATGGGTTCTATTGCATCTGATTCATAAACTATACTTTGGGTTCCAAATTTTCAAGTGACATGAATTTACCTCTGCTGTATTTTTAAAATTGAAATCAAAATATATAACCTGCATGTTTTCTTCTATATATCTGTGTACTCACATTAGACACATAAACTACACTGAGACTTTTGGGATACCCTGTATAATACTGGTAAACTATATGTGACTTCACAATTCTGGAAGAAGAAAGAAAGACTGTTCCGAATGGATCAATCAGTATTGGTTAAGTGGAGCTTACTAAGTCCCATCAGAATTGGCAAGAACAAAGAATTAAAAAAGATGAGAAGTCATATATAAATCCAAAGAGCACCTGCAAAATAAATAAAAATCCATTACAGAATGTTGCAATATTCTATACAATGTATCAGTGCTTATCGCTAAGTACTTTCTCAAACAAAAGCTAGCCTACGTGACCAACAGCTATGTCACGTATGCCTAAGGTGACTTCCTCATTTCCTAAAGGGCACAAAAAAGACCGTATATGGTAGTAAGGAAATGCTCCCTTCCTCCTGAGATGTAACCACTCCCATACCTGATG